CTGTGTGCGGCCTGAGTCTCCACCTAACCTGAGCTGGTCCTGCTGGGTCCCATTGGTGTCTGCAACCCCCACAGCAAGCACAGTCTGGTGCACTGCCCCAGTGACACCTCTGCCAGAGCATACCAGCATCATGGCACAGCACTGAACCCACGCAGGGTTTCCCATATGCCTCCTGCTTGATATTACAGTTTGGGGAAGGGGAGGGAAGGAAGACAACCGAAAAAAATGCAACGTCTCACCACACAGCCCTGCCCAAGGGCAGAGGAGAAGGTGGAGAGCAGCTGCCAGCTTGGCAGCAGCGACTGTGCCTTGGTGCTGGGAGGCTGAAGGGAAGGAAACGCTCGTGGGCTGTTCAGGAGGGAGCTGCTGGCAGGGAAAAAGCATCCCTGTGTCTAGGAGCAACATCATGAGCTACATGGGATACGGGCTGTAAGGCAGGGCTTGCATGGGAGGCTGCACCATATGGCCTCCAGAAGACCCTGCCGGGCGGCACGGCTGTGGCTGTATGGTGTTGCCAGCAAGGACCGAGGTCAACCAAGGATGGCCAAGGAAGGGCTCTTCCTTGGGTAGCAGGTGCTGGGGACTGACCAGGCTCAGCACAAACGGATCGAAACCTTTGCAAGTGCCATGGTGTTTGCTAGTGACGTTAGACCAGACCGTGGGACCGACATCCCTGGCTCAATTTTACCGACAAACAGCACGACTGTGCTTTGATCTCTCCAGTTCAACTTCACTTTCCATCAATACTGATAAGCACTTCGCGTGCTCCACTGCATCAGATCCTGCCAGAGTCCTGCTTACACCTGGACTGGAACTTTGGCAAAGAGAAAACCCCTAAAACCTCAGATAGACAACGCAGGGGAAACCACCATGTGATATTCTTGCTGATTCCTATTGCTTTGTGCCTTGAAATAGGAAGATTTTATTTTAAAATCCTGACAGCTCTCTACCAGTGTCTTTGTACATCAGCGGGTTTGCTCCAATTGAGCTCTGGACCAAATCAGTGCCTGGTTGCAGGGAGTCCCCAGTGTCACCGGACACCTTCATCTGGTACGTGATGGGGCAGGGGGACTGGGTGACACGGCTGTGGTCCTGGTTAGCTCTCTGTCCCGCTCAGCTCACCGAGTCCGTGCGACCTCCAGCACTGAGAGACCAAAACGCCCCACGGCTGCTTAGCTGCAGCTTGGCAAAACACTTACAACCCTCAAACTCCTGCTCTGAATTCACCTCAAAACACCACCCGCCTCAACTTCTACCAGAGCATCTGCTGAGCACCTGGTGGCCTGTGCCTGGGCACATCCCAGACCTTGGTGGAGGCCTGACTCCACAGGCGAGGGTCACAGCACCACCTGGTGAAGCTCTACAGCTTAGCTCCGGCTTGACCATGAGAAAGTACTGCTGCTCCAGTTTCACCCGTGATGCCATTAAAACAAAAAGAAAAATCAAAAGGGAGAGAAGAGGAGCAGAACACGCGTGTCAGGGCAGATCCGCAGAGAGCCCGCACAGAGCGGAGCGAGAGCGCGCAGAGCAGGGTGAGCGTGCACACCTGCCCCGTGCGAGCACGCCCAGAGCAGCGAGGATGTGCACGGAGCAGGGTGAGCGAGCACGGGCGCACGGTGCAAGGTTGCACAGACTGGTGTGAACGAGCACAAAGATGGCACACGCAGAGAGCACACACAGAGCGCTGGGACAGCTCTGTCAGGTCCCCAGTGAGAACAAAACCTCCAAATCTGTTCAATGGGTGCAGACATGGCCGGGTTAAAGTTTGGTGGGTGACAGGCTCTCATGGGTAAGATGTAAAAAATTAATTAAAGATGCAAATGGGTCCTTTCCCTGAGAGCCAGTGAATGTGGAGCTTCCCCTGTCCGGAGTCCTCACCACCAGGCACCTGACCCTGCAACAGGTTTCTCTCTAACTCTCCTGTTAATGGTTGTGTTGTTCCAAGATTGCTTTGTTTTGCATGGAATAATTAATTAGGTAGCGGAGTGCAGGGCGGGGGACGTTTGAGAGCAGGGCTGTAGCAGTCCTGCCTTTCCTGGGTAACATCAAGCAGGCAACGTGTGACCGGCAGCACAGCACGTAGCTACCCAGATCGGTTTTAATTTTTCTTGCTGCGGCCCTGAGCGCCCCTGAGGAGCTTGCAGAGGGATTGCCGCCACAGGGCAGCAATCCAGGCTCCTGCTGTGGATGGTCCCGTGGGAGGGGGCATCTGCATTTTGGCTCTGGCTTCGGTGAGTGCTGTAGTAGCTTGAGAGGAGGGGGCCCTCTCCAGCCCCCTGGGGTGGAGGCCTGGGGCTTTAGGGCTTCCTGCAGGGTCAGAAACATACTGCCCGCACTGAGCGGCCCTGGAAGGACTGAACGGTGATGTTACACAGACCACCACCTGCCCCAGCCGCTCATGGCCCCCTTTTCTCATCCATTTTGGATACCCGAGGGGTGTGCTGCTCCATGGCCCGTGCAGGGGCAGCCTCAGGGGAGCTGACAGCTGCTGTCCCATGGACCTAACGCCTGAGGTGGCATTATGGGATGCTGGCTGGGACCCACGGGAGGAAGCAATCCCCTGTGCACCTCTGTTTTCTGGCTGGGTAAGCACAAGGAGCTGCACTTTAGAAACAGTTGGTACCTGCACTGCCCTCTGACTCTCTCCAGGTACAGCCAAGACCCTAGAAACCCTTTGGCTTGTGCTGGTGTTAGGTCAGACATTAGTTTCAAAAATAAAATCAGCTCCACTCCAGAGGGGTCCTGACAAAGACCTTTTCAAAAGTCAAAAATGATTATATCAGTTACGCAGAAAGTCAGAAAGCTTCAACTTGCTGTCCACCAGCATCCTAGATCTCTTCCTGCAAAGCTTCCTCCTGCCCCTGCCTGTCCTATTGCGCGGGGTTAGCCCATGCCAGAGGAAGGACTTTGCATTTGTCTGCATTAAATGTCAGTAGGCTCCTGCCAGCTCGTTTCTCCAGCCTGTCAAGGCTCTTTGAATGGCAGCCCTGGCCTCCAGTGTATCGACTGCTCCTTGTTTTGGTGTCTCCTGCAGACCTGCTGAGGGTTCAGGAGACTTAGCTGGTGTGCACTGCCCAGCCTCTGTTCTGGGGGTCAAAACTCTCTTCCTCCACCTGCCCTGCTGACCCAATTTTATTTGGGATGCTGCGTCTCCAGCTGCAAAATCGCAGGAGCGTCGCAGCTGCCTTTTAAAAGCAGCCCAGTGCTCCTGCACAGGCAGAGCTTTGGGATGCAACACCAAACATCTCTGCCCCGACTTTCTGATAGGAGGCAGAGGTCTGGGGACACGGGGTGGCTGCACCCCAGGGGACAGAAGCCACAGATTTTGCTGGGGGAAGGACCAAGGGGCGAGGTGGCAAGGACAAAGCATTAACCCAGGGCTGCCAGAGGCCCCTGCCCGCTACCTCCTCCCAGGCCCTACGGGCAAGGCAGTGAGCCGCAGCCTTCCGCCCGGCCCCTGCAAGCTCTGGCCTCCCAGCCTGGGGACCAAGGATGCTCCCGCTGGCGAGGCGAGGGCTGATCCAGTCTCCAGTGCCACCTGCCGGCAAATCATCCCGGACAGAGGCTGGAGCCTTCACCCCGGCCGCACCACTGCCCGGCAAGGCTGCAAGGCACCTGCAAGGAGACCTGTGCAGCCCAGAACTGTGGGGCTCTGGACCCATAAGCAGGCCCCGAGAGCTCAGTAACGATGCTTCCTAAAAGCCAGCCCATACCCCCCCCCCCCGCCCAAGACCCTTTATCATCATCCCCTTCACCCCCCCCCT